GTCACACATAAAAGGCCACATGTTGTAGGATTCCATTTACATGAAATGTCTAGAACAGGCAAATCTACAGAGACCAAGAGTAGATTAGTGGTTGCCCGGGGCTGAGGGGAGTGGAGGCTGAAGAGTGACTGTTAATAGGCATAGGATTTCTTTGGAGGCTGATGGAAATGTTCTGGAATTAGATAGCAGTGATATTTGCACATCTTTTGAGATACTAAAAACTACTGAATTTTAGAGGCATGAATTTTAGGGCTACATCTCATTAAAAATGAGAAAAAAAGACCTCTCTCAGATTTATATCCCACTGTCTGATGATCTGGAAGCCCCTGGTAAGTACAGAGCTGGCACTAGTTGAAAAATCCTCAGTGAAATAAGTCTATGGTGGTGCAGTTCATTTTATTTTTGAGGATATATTAATAACCCAAGAACCAACCTCATGGGGCAATGAGTGTTCTTCATGCCTCCATAGGTCCAGGTGCTGGATGAGAGGATATGTACACCTACCTCCTCCCCACCACTGAAACAAAGAGCTCCGAGCACATCTTACCAAGGCTGGGTTTACTGCATTCTTTCCACATACAAAGATGGAGAGAGCAGAATGTGCTTGACTAGAAGTCAGGAGACCTGTGTTCTATTGTTGACTCTGCCATTAACTAACTTAAGCCTCAGTTTCCCCATTTTTAAAACAAGTGGTCGGTACCAAAAGTCTCCAGTGTCTTTTCTAGCGTGAAGCTTCTGTGATTCTAAAAAGAAAATCCCCTTCATCTTCTACTCACTACTCCGTCATCCCAACCCCACGCCCTAACCCAACATACACACACACACCCCTATAAAGAAGAAACATTCAAGCATGATAACCAGGTTATCATTTCCTGCCAAGAAGGGATAACTTTGCAGCATGGCTAACAGAAAAACAAAAAAAAACATGGAGCAGCCCAAGGAATGATTTTTGCTGGCTAGTATCCTCAGAGACTCTGGAATGATCCTACTGAACAGTTTCTAGGTCTGGATGTTTGTCAGTTGTAAAGCTTGTAAGTTGAAGGTTGCATCTATGTACAATCCTGATTCCCTTCAATGGAGTGTGGACCTGTGCTCACAGAACACCTACTGTATTTTGACCTTGAGTCTTTTCATACAAAAATCTCAGAAGTAGCCACAAACTTTGTTTCACAAATATGTTTTATTTAGCTTGTAATTAAAAAAAAAAAAAAAAACTATGCTAATTTTTTTATATCAGTGAATTTTATATAAATATAAAATTTTATGGCTTTTCTAGAAAAATTATAAAATCTAGTACAGTAGTACCCAAATTCTAATTTGTGAAAATTGTCTGGAGCTAAATTGAGCCTATCCCCTTTTGACTTACTCTTAGTTTGCCACAGTCCCCACTCCTTCCTCTTGTCCCAAATACTAAAGACAAGTATCAGAAAACTTTTGATTTCATATTTGTGCAGTTGGGTTTTTTTTTTTAATCATATCTGTTTGTTGTTATTGTTGTTGTTTGGCTGTTGTTTTTCTTTTCTCCAGATGGCTTCATTTGTCACTCAGCTAGCCCCTAAGGGCAGTTGAGATAACTCACCACAGACAGGCGTCTATGCCACACCCAAGCACTCAATTGGCACCTGCATGAGGAAGGCTCCCCAATCTGTATCTCCAGACCCATATTAACACTGTCTCTTAGACCTCTCCACCTGGCTGCCCCACAGATAACCTTAAAATCAACAAGCCTAAGGCCGGGTACGGTGGCTCAAGCCTGTAATCCCAGCACTTTGGGAGGCCGAGACGGGCGGATCACGAGGTCAGGAGATAGAGACCATCCTGGCTAACACGGTGAAACCCCGTCTCTACTAAAAAATACAAAAAAACTAGCCGGGCGAGGTGGCGGGCGCCTGTAGTCCCAGCTACTCGGGAGGCTGAGGCAGGAGAATGGCGTAAACCCGGGAGGCGGAGCTTGCAGTGAGCTGAGATCCGGCCACTGCACCCCAGCCTGGGCGACAGAGCAATACTCCATCTCAAAAAAAAAAAAAAAAATCAACAAGCCTAAAACTCATTCACTTTTCTCTACATCTCTAAACTCTCTCTGTTTCTCACTCAGTGACACCACTAACTACCCAGTCAAGCAAGCCAGAGACCTAAGAGTTATCCTTCTTTCTGTTCCTTCACCTCCTGTGCTCATTCAGTAACATATAAACAACAGAAGTTTATCGCTCATAGTTCTGAAGGCTGAGAAATCCAAGATCAAGGCACTAGCAGATTCAATGTCTGGTGAGGGCCCACTCCTCACAGATTGCACCTTCCATGTGTCCTTACATGGCAGAAGAGGCAAACAGGCTCCCTCAAGCCTCTTTTATAAGGGCACTAATCCTATTCATAGAGGCAGAGCCCTCATGATCTAATCACCTACTAAAGACCGTAACTCTTCATATTATTACATTGGAGATTAGGCTTCGACTTATGAACTTCGTGGGGACACCAACATTCAGACCTCTATAGTTACTCAAACCAGGCCTCCATCACTTCCCGTAGAACTATTGAAAATAGTTTTCTAAGATCCTTTTAACCTCTAAGCTCACCGCCTTTCAGCTTACACTCAGAGTGATCACACAGTAAGTTTCTACAGCACAAATCTAGTTATGCTTTTCCTTGTTGAAGCACTCCAGCAGCACCCTGCAGCCTGCTATAGGATGAAGAGCCAGTCCAACCCATGCTGACCTCAGCAGGCATGCAGACCTTTGACTGCATCCTGTCTCCCACCCTAGACTCTGGCCCACAGGCCAGCTGTCATTGTCTTGACAAGTGCACACCCCCAGGCTTTTTCCCATCCTGTACTCAGTACCTGCTTCCTGACTGTGAGTGCCTGCTCATCTTTGAATACTCTGTTTAGGGGTCAATGAAACCTCTTCTGTTCACTCACTACCATCTTCACTTGAAACTGATCATTCTTAGATTTTAAGTGTTCTCACCACACAAAAAAGAGATAAGTGAGATAATGCATATGTTAATTAGCTTGATTTAGTCATTTCTCTATATACTTCAAAACACGTTGTACACAATATATGCAATTTTGTCAATTAAAAAATAAACATAAATAAAAATCAGTCACTCTTTCTTCACTTACCCTCTGCCCCTTCCACATCCCACCAGCCTCCCATGAGAACCTTCAGTGCATGTGTCTGTTTCCTTGTTAGTTTTCTCTTACTAGCTGGTAAGCTCACTGGGGCAGGGATGGAGTTGGGGTCATCCCATATCCCCAGTACCCAGCAGAGCACTTGGTATATACAGTAGTCACTCCGTACATGATTAATAAAAGAAAGTCTGTGAGAGAAAGTAAGTAACTCAACTCTGTGTGAGCCCCTGCCAGAGTCTCCTAGCCAGTTCCCTGAATCTTCTCTTTCCTCCTCTAGTTTGTAGCCAGAGTGACATTTTCTCAATGGAGTCTTGATTCAGATCCATTGCTTTTGAGAAAAACTCAAGATCCTTAAAGTCAGCGTCCTCCCTGTCTCTGTGGCCTCCTCTCCCACCTGCTCCTCCTGGCTCCATCCTCCCTAGCTGCATGGCCTTCTGCCAGTCCTTGGTATGTCCCCTGCCCTCTCCTGGCAGAGGGCAGCCATTCGTGCCGGGCCTTTTCTAAGCTCTCTTCCCTCCGTTCCTCACCAAGTTAATTCCTCTCAACACATTCACTGCTTCCTCAGGCCCTGACTTCCCTGACTGGAGAGGCGGAGGCCCCTTATAACATCCTACCTCACCGGGCTGCATAGACATGCAAGCATGCCCCTGCCAGCTCTTACTCAGGGGCCCTTTGCCCTAAGCTGGTACCAGTGAAAGAAAGGGGAGGAGAGACAGCTTTCAGCCTCTCCTCTGTGGAGGGGAAATGTCCAGCACAATACAGTTGTCCCTTGGCATCGGTGGGGGATCATTCCTGGACCCATGCAGATACCAAAATCCACAGATGCTGAAGACCCTGATTTAAAGTGGTGTATTATGGTCATGGAACCTACGTGCATTCTCCCACGTACATTAAACCATCTCTAGATTATTTATAATACCCAATACAATGTAAATGCTATATAAATGATTGTTATACTGTATTTTTACATTTGTATTATTTTTATTGTTTTTCCCAAATATTTTGGATTCTCTGTTGGTTGAATTTGCTGATGCATGAACCCACAGATACAGAGGGCCGTCTGTAAATTTTTGGCAGTTAATGGAGGGCACTTGCCTTAGAAGGTAGCTCAGCAACCTCTGCCACTTCCCTGGTTCATGGGATGGGGAGGGGTCACTGGCACCTCCCAAGAGATTCATCAGCATCCTCCAATCACTTCAGGGCCAAGTGACTTTCTCGGGGGACGTGTGGTAAATACAGTAGTGTTTTCCCCTTCTCCACTACATTTCCAGGATTATTTCTGTGTCTTTAATAGCACTTCAGATGGGACTTAGGTCCCTTCCCTTACTCCCACCTGCGGACTGCCACTCCATCTGATACTGTTCATGGTTATCTAACTAAACAAAACATCCACCTCCCAGCACACCTTGGCAATGGCCCAGGTGGGGGCTCAGAGAAGGTAGTGAGGAAAAGGCAGGCCTCTGGCCAGAAAGCTCATTCTAGCACTGAGTCCAGAGAAGCCGTATCTTCCAGTACTTGAAGCAGCAAGCTCATTGATCAGACAGCCTCGAGGGTGAATGGTCATTCCCCTCTCCAGAGACAGGCTTCCTTTCTACTCTAGGGGAGAGGCAGAGTCTGCAGGCACCAAACTCCCTGTGGAGGGCTGGGAGCACTCGTCCCAGAGATGATTGAGGAAGTCCAAATAGAATGTCGGTACAATTCTTATGATACTGAGGCCACTCATCTCTCTGTTTAACTTAGCTTCTGAAACCATTCTTGATAATGAGAATGCCATGCCTTTATTTTATTTCCTGCTGTACAATAGATAAGGGAGTAAAAGTCCACCAAGAGAGCATACAAAATCAAGAGGACAGTGATCAAGAGTAGCTTTTACCTGGAATATAATTTGACTCGGTTCTTGGCCTTCATAAATAGAAAATGTCATGGGTTTCAGGGGTCCACTAAACTTCCCCTCTTGGCCATATCCAGTTGCCTGTTAAAAAAGAGAAAATTAGCATCTTGTATGAATGTGTCTGTGTCACTTGTGATTTTATTAGGGTTTCCAGCACCAATATATGAAACACAGAATTCTATCATGGCCGAAATCTGATCAAAACAGAAAAGAGTATAATAGCTGTTGAAGCTCTACCATGTCAAAGTAGCTTGTTACAAACCTTTGCGTTGCTTTTCTTAAACATCTGAGAAGAATGTGAGATGACAAGAATCACTCTATGAGAAGAATGTTAACATCCCCGTATTACAAATGAAGCTTAAAAAGGTTAACACAGCACACATGCTCAGGCCTAACTGATCTAGAGCCCATGGCCTTCCACAATCCCACACTGTCTTCTAAATTCTATATGTTTTTACTCCAGCTTCATAAAACACCTCCCTCCACTCTTTTTATTTTATAAGGACATTTATAGCAGATGGCCAGCACTCTAGAGTTCTGAATTTATAAGGGGGAGGAAGAAAATATAGATGTATTTAGTACAAAGTTTGCTTGGCACAGTTACACAGTGAGTTTTAGCCAAATTTGAATCTGAATTTGAATGATAACTTTAAGCAAAGCTTACTATTATAACATTTGATTAGCTCTTTACATTCATTTAGAAAAAAAACAATAAAAGCACAAAATGTTTAAGCAGTAGCCCTACAATGGTTCTAAAATCCAAAGACCCTAAACCTGAAAGCTAAGCAGGCTCTGCAGACACCCAAGTCAAGACTGGAGTAGGAGTGAGTGTGGCTGGGATGGTAAGAAGAGTGACGCACACTTGCTAAGTTACTACATGTGGAGCTCTGTCCTAAGCACATTTAATCCTGACAACAACCCTCTGGGAGGAAGTTACTATTGTTACCCTTGTTTTACAGGTGATGACACTAAGACCCAAAGAGGTTAAACTATTTGCCGAGGTAGTGGCTGGAAGCAAGATTTGAACCTGCAACTCTGGAACCGGCCCTCTCAGCCTCTACGCACCAGCACCCACCAGAGCAGGTGAAATAGCCAAGACAACCTGGAGGGAAAGCTGGCGGGCTGCACTGAAGATGTACATGAGAGTGTGACTCCCACCATTCCCAGTCTCAGAACATGGGGAGCATCACTGTAGCCCTCACCACAACAGCACCTGTGAAGGCAGATGGAGTGGGTGCCAACAGGAAGGGACAGCCAGTCATGCACCCATGTTGGGGCACCCTCTAGGACCAGGGATTTAGTGTCTCCTCCCCATGCTGGCCTTCTCTCCTTCCTGGGCAGGTATTTGGGTCTCCCATTTGTGGTGGAAATCAGGGGTGAAACAGATTGAAATCAGAAGCATGATGTGGCAAGTCAATGGTTTTTGGAGCTAGACAATAAAAATAAAAGAGTAAAAAGTCTTCTCACTCCCTGAACTGGGTATGCAGGACAGATTTCCAGGTGCCACTAGGTTGGGGGAAAACCATTTTCTTTCCAGTTATTTAGGGAAAGCAAGCACACACTTGCCAAGGAAACTGCTCCCTGCTGAGAGTACCCAAAAGCCATCAATATGCCAGTGATCAGAGAAAGGTCTTTGCTGGATCCCTCAGTTTGGGGAATCTTGACTAAGTTGGGTGCTGGATGTCTGGCAAAAGAGCAATAATGAACAGGGGCTTTGAAGTTTGGTCTGTTCTCAGAGTTGTGGTAGGGCCTTAGATTTGCTGCCCCTGGGCCACTGCCAAACCCTCTCCCTTGCTGCCTCCCACCACAGAGGCTGCTAAACCAAGTGTTCCCTTTCCCAGGCTCACTTGCAACTAGGAAGGTGGCCAAGTGGCCCAGTTCTGGTTCATGAAATGAGAGGAGAAGTCCATTGGGGGTGGTCAAGCTTCCATTTTCCTGATTTTAAAAAAAGGATAGTTGTGGCTGCCATTGCCCTTTCCTGTGGCTCTTACTGAGACAATGGACCTTGTGTCTGCAGTTGGGGCAGCCATGATGAACCCTGAGAGGACAAACCAGCTCAAATAATGGTGTAGCAAAGAGAAAGTAGCCCAAGTCTCTGCAACATCATGGAATTGCTAAACCTGCCCTGGATTGCCTACTTCAAACTTCTTGTTATCTGAGGAAAATAAACCCCTATTTATTTAAAATGCTCTAAAGTCAAATAAGTCAAATTTCCTGTTACTTGCAAGGAAATGCTTTTTTTTTTTTTTTTTTTTTTTTTTTTTTTTTTTTTTTTGAGACAGAGTTTTGCTTTCGTTGCCCAGGCTGGAGTATGGTTGCATGATCTCGGTTCCCTGCAACATCTACCTCCCAGGTTCAAGCGATTCTCCTGCCTCAGCCTCCCGAGTAGCTGGGATTACAGGAGCCCACCACCATGCCTGGCTAATTTTTTATATTTTTAGTAGAGATGGGGTTTCACCATGTTGGCCAGGCTGGTGTCGAACTCCTGACCTCGTGATCTGCCCGCCTCAGCCTCCCAAAGTGCTGGGATTATAGGCATGAGCTGCCATGCCTGGCCAAGAAAATGCATTCTTAACTCACAAAGTAATTTTGCCAGACTTCTAGCCCATCTCCTCCTTTCTAAGATTATCTTCCTTTGGGAGCTCTTCTTCCCTTTCACTCCTTTTCCACATCTTTTCCTGTTCCTTCAACTCCTCTAGAAGGTAGGGCATAAGAACTGGGTGGTGTGCAAGACAGATGTCCAGGTACCACCATGGTTGGTTTAGTGAAGTCAGTGCTTTCTGTGGAGCTGCTGCTTAGCAACCAACTATCTTCATCAGCTTTGCACTCATGTCAGCAAGCAGTCAGTCTTTCAGTTAGTCACACCAGTGAAAACTACATTAGCCACACACAAACAAGGCTGCACTTTTCCAACAAGAACAAGCTGACTCACCCATCAGAAAATGAGAATCAAGTCTTGGTTCCAGGGTTCAAAGTTGCGTGCTCGTATCAGGGCAACAAATCTCTCTTCCTGCCAATTAACATGGCTATTGGAGCTATAAAGATTTCAAAGTGCATGTGCACACTGTGAATCATCAAGCCGCATTCTCCAGAAGTGGGAAGGACAGTGTGGTGGAAACTTGTGAAAGGACAAGAGGGCAGTTTTATGCAGAAGTTGGAGGTAATAGCATTTTCCATCTTGCACAAAGAAGCGAAAGGAAGAGAATGGAACTGCCATCTTAAAGTCATTTTTAGCATCTTTTATGTGGCAGTAATGAGACTAGATCACCACATAACACCATTTCTTCTGACAAATCCTTTCAAGAAAGTATCTCCAGAGAAGTCCAACAGTAGAGGCAAAGCATTCAGAGATAGAGCTACCTCCAGACTGGAGCCAGCGCCATTGGACCACCAAGCCCCAACTCTTAACCACATTGTTACACTGCCTTCCAGGCCAAAGGACATGTGCAATTGCCAGGTTCACCTACCTGGTAGCTCCATCAGGAGCTCAGTGCAGTGACTATGTAGTTTTGTACCAAACTCATCGTCCTTCTGGAAGTCCCAGGCATAACTCCAAAACAGATGGCTCTGCCTTAGTTTCCTCCGATTCCCTAGTCAGTACCGTTTCCCAAACCCTGGATCACTTATTCACTCTCTCTTTGGTGCCCCTGAAGTACATCCATGCTATGTTTGTGTTTCCAACCCTCTGATAAATCTATCTCTTGGAAAAGAAAAGATCTACTCGCAGTCTGAAGTAAATTAGTGCCTCTGTTGAATAAAGCCCTATGCAGAAGACAAGATTCTTCAAGCAAATTTCCAGTCTTCATAGACGAGGTGTTGGAAGGAGGTAGGAGAGAGAAGTGGCTCCCTGTCAATACCCCTGAAATCCCACTCCCTGACTTCACCCAGAGACAGCTGTGCTTGTGGCTCTCACCTGGGCAAGGCACTGCTGCCAGCAGTGGTTGGGCAGTATTTTCACTCTAGATAGAAATCTCACTGGGGTGAGAGTAGAGAAGGAAACCTCATTTTCACCTTTCATCCAGGAATAAAAATGCATGTTCCCGTCTCAGACAAGAAGCAAATGAGACCTAATAATTTGATATTATTATTAAATAATTTAGCAGTGTGCTCAGTGCTGAATCTGCAAAGATGGTAAAAACATAGTCCGTTCTTCATGGAGGTCAGGGTCCATAGGGATGTAGACATGACACTTAAAATGCTGTAGTAATTATAGTAGCCAATGTTTATTGTGTGTTTAACTGCCAGTCACTGATCCAAGAGCTTTGTAAATGCAGTATCTCATTGAATTGCCACAAAACCCCATAAGACAAGTACTATTATTAGATCCATTTCACAGGGCAGAAAACTGAGGTTCGAAGCTTAGGTAACTCACCAAATCCCTATCACTGGTAGTGGAGGCACCAAGTTTGAAACCATGTCTGACTTTACCACTACCCTGGGATAACATAGGTGACAAAGGGCATTTGAGGGGGTGGGATGAGGAGAGAGGTCAAGTGGGGATGTTTGATCCAGCCCTTCCACAGTCCTGGGGACAGGCTTCGAGACTGCAGGCTGTGAGGACTCAGGCCTCTCATAAAATTTGACCTGAAGATTTCCCCCAGGAGGAAGGCTCTGATAGTTTTCAAGTTTCATTCCATTTCACGCTGTCACTACGTGAGCTCTAGGGTATTTTTTGGGACTTGCAATTTGATGTATTATTTATGGATCCCAGAAGAAAGGAAATAAGGTTTGAGGTATGAGGATCTAGAAGATTCCTTCTTTTAAAAAAAAAAAAAGCAAATGCTTCCCCTAAATCTTACAATCTTGTTTCATAACACAGCAATTTTGGGGGCAACATTTATGAACCTCAGGAGTCACGTAGATTTAAAAAAAAAAAAGGCACCTACTGTTTACCCCAAGGTCAAGGGTGAGGACTCCCCAGTTCCTATTCAGCTCCAAGCTCTAGAAGCCTGTCAGTCAATAGGGTTAACCCAACAAATGGTTAAACACAACCAGAAAATTCCAAACCATTGATGAAAAGAAAAGTATACAGAACAGGCCTGAAAGTATAGAGCAGAGCAGGGCTGAAAATAGAGAAAATGCTTTTCTTGATGTTTTGGTGGTAAGTTTTCATGCACAAAGTTTAAAAAAGAAAGTCAAGATTAAGGGACACAGACTAATTCATGTATCAGTGCAATGTCATTCCAGATTTCCTGAGCTATACATAGACAGATTTGTTTTCAACATTACCCATAACTGGTATTGGCTTTTAAGAGCTGGAAAGAAAATGCATCCCCTAGTTGAGGGCAGACATGTGATTTGTAGCCATTTCATCAAAAATATCACAGTGGAAAAAGCTATGTTTCCATTCTATACAACAACTTAATTTTGATAGGTCATCTTTTTTTAAGTAATAATAGCCATTCTTTCCCCTGGTGTGGGGTAGACAGATAGCAGAAAATATTCTAGTAAATAAATACAGAAGAACACCCTCTTCTCTTACCAAATAAAGCATAAGAAGACACAGGGAGTGAAGATGGACCTGAAGTATCATAGTTTTCTTTATTCAAATTCCTGTGAAGAAACCAGAAATAAAAATGGTTAGTTACCAGTCTGTTAAAATCATGTCTTTCCCATCAGTAATAATCAATGGATGATATCCAGTTATAAACCTAGTAAAATGGTATCCCAAAAGGCCAGCCTCTCCAGCGTATGGAGCAGCCCAGTCTTCCAGAAACTTCATATACATAATCCATAGCAATATGCAAGCCAACATCTCAAAACATGCTCACAGTAATTCCATTTTTCTCTAACTGCTTTGCTCTGTTATGATCTTCTTCATTTCAGTGTCTTAAATGATAGGCAATTAGTGTTTGTTTTGGTTTTTGGTTGTTTTTTTTTTGGAACGGAGTCTCACTTTGTCATCCAGGCTGGAGTGCAATGGTGCAGTCTCATCTCACTGCAACCTCCACCTCCTGGGTTCAAGCAATTCTCCCACCTTAGCCTCCCAAGTAGCTGGGATTACAAGTGCACGTCACCATGCCTGGCTAATTTTTGTATTTTCAGTAGAGACAGGATTTCACCATGTTGTCCAGGCTAGTCTCAAACTCCTGACTTCAGGTGATCTGCCTGCCTTGGCCTCCCAAAGTGCTGGGATTACAGGTGTGAGCCACTGTGCCCAGCCAGCAATGCTTATTCTTTTCAATCCTATTATGCAGATGGAGAAGATGTATTTTGGCAAATGCCAGGATAACTAAACACTTTGATTGAAAGCCACAAACATATGAGATCCCACAAGTGGCAAGAACTCAAGAATGCTCACAATTCTTCATTCAAAGATGTCACCAACTGCCTCTTTGGTCTTCTAGATATTATCATTACCTATGCAATAAACCTAAGAAAAAATTTACTTGTTACTATTCCAAAAGAGATCAAACAAAAATCTGAACTCTGTCCTTACTTTCTCCTGTCCGATATTGTTTTTCCCTTCCTCCTTAAGGCTTCCCATTTCAGAGATTATAACTTTCACTATGAGACATGTCATGACTAATTGATTTTAAGATGTGAGATAAATTTTCCACATGGCCTGAGAAACAGTGTTGTTACCTGTCATGAGTTTGGACTGCCCTCTCCCCAAAAGAGAGTCAAGGAAATATATATACTTCCGTTGTTACAGAATCTCACTCTGTCGCCTAGGCTGGAGTGCAGTGGCGCGATCTTGGCTCATTGCAAGCTCCGCTCCTGGGTTCACACTGTTCTCCCGGCTCAGCCTCCTGAGTAGCTGGGACTATAGGCCCCTGCCACCACACCCAGCTAATTTTTTGTATTTTTAGTAGAGATGGGGTTTTGCCATGTTAGCCAGGATGGTCTCGATCTCCTGACCTCATGCTCCGCCTGCCTTGACCTTCCAAAGTGCTGGGACTACAGGCGGGAGCCACCGCGCCCAGTTGAGTCAAGGAAATTTTTTCAATGTATTTATTTCACTAAAATTCCAATCACTTTATTATCTCTAGAGATTAGGAACAATCTTGGTTTACTCGTCATCTTATTCTTTAAAGTTTTTCTACAATGAGCACATATCATTAATATCACCAGCATGGAAAATATTTCACTAACATTTTAACCACTCTAAAAATTTAGATCCTGAAAAATTTACATGCCCTATATTTGCATAATTTATATTTGAACTTTAAAGGGTAAAAATGCTATTTCATTTTAGCCTCATCTATGTTCTGGGAGATAAAGAAACAATCCTTTATTAAGCATCACCCAGGATGCAGATTTGCGGAGAGGTCTTTAAAAACAGTAACAGGCTGGAAACGGTGGTTCACACCTAGGTTCACACCTATAAGCCCAGCACTTTGGGAGGCCAAGGCAGGTGGGTCGCTTGAGCTCAGGAGTTGGAGACCAGCCTGGCCAACATGGCGAGACCCCCATCTCTACTAAAAACACAAAAATTAGCCAGGTGTGGTGACGCATTGCCTGTAGTCCCAGCTACTTGTGATACAGCAGGTGGAAAGAAATTATTTAGGCAGATAGTGAGGGTAAGAGTACTCAGTAAGGTTTCCTTTTAACAAAAAGCAGCCCCCAAATCATTTCTTTTCTAACAAAGAGCAGCCTGTAGAATCGAGCTGCAGACATAGATAAGCAAGCTGGAAGTTTGCACAGGTGAATGCCAGCAGCTCTGCCAATAGGAAAATGCCACCTGGGGGCCAGGCATGTTCAACATGGCGGCTCCAATCTTCCCTTTACTTTGTAAACCACGTGTACAGTAAGGAACAGACAATATGGCGCTAGCCAGGTAGAGAACCTATCTGCATAATAAAAGATTAGGGTGAGATGGCCAGCTTCTTCACGCACTATGCAAACATCACACCTGGTCCAACCAATCTCTCCAGCCCTGTGTAAATCAGATACCACTTCCTCAAGCTCATATTTAAAACTGTGCCATTTCACCACGAAAACTGGAAGACCCACTCGGGTGGCACCCCTCTCTCTGCAGGAGACAGAGCTAATCTCCTTTCTCTTTCTTTTGCCTATTAAACCTCTGCTCTTAAACTCACTTCTCGTTTGCCCACGTTTTCTATTTCCCTGCCCTGATGACCTGGGGTATTTAGCCCAGACAATGATGTCACTTCACTTGGGAGGCTGAGGTGGGAGGATCACTTGAGCCCAGGAGGCAGCGGTTGCAGCTAGTTGTGATTGCGCCACTGCACTGCAGCCTGGGTGACAAAGTGAGGCCCTGTCTCAAAAAACAAAAATAAATAATAAAAATTAAAAATAAAAACAGAAACAGAGTAGTACAGCAGGTAGGCTTGGAGTCAGAAAGCTGGACTAGCAACCCAGCACTGCTCTCTATAGCTATGTGGCTATGGATATACTACTTCATCTTTTGGTGCCTCAGTCTCTTCACATGGAAAACACATAGCAATTGTTCAATAATAAGTTTGTCCTCTTGGCCGGGTGCGGTGTGGTTCAGGCCTGTAATCCCAGCACTTTGGGAGGCTGAGGCAGGCAGATCACGAGGTCAGCAGTTTGAGACAAGCCTGGCCAACATAGTGAAACCTCGTCTCTACTAAAAATACAAAAATTAGCCAGGGGTGGTGGCGGGCACTTGTAGTCCCAGCTGCTTGGGAGGCTGAGGCAGGAGAATTGCTTGAACCCGGAAGGCAGAGGTTGCAGTGAGCCGAGACCGTGCCATTGTACTCTAGCCTGGGTGAAGGAATGAGACTCTGTCTCAAAAAAAAAAAAAAAAAAAAAGTTTGTGCTCTTATGATTTTTTCAGATATAATGAGCTGGGGAATTGTTCTTCTCATTTTGTAGGTGAGAAAATCGAGGTTCAAAGTCAAGCAATTTGCCTAAAGACATACAGCTAGGAAGTGACATTACCTTGCCTCCAACCAGATTATCAATTCCAAAGTTTAAACTCTGGAATTTCAACTCTTGCTACTGTGCCTTACACAGTGTGATAGCTACCTAGATGTAGATGTATGACATGGAGCACGGACAGAGATAGAGCCGTAGAGATATATAAATATCATATATGTATATATATTTATACATGCTATATAAATTAAGCAACTTGCCCTGAAATTCCACAACTATTTTAAGGAAAAGCTAGGATTAAAACCCTTCAGGACTCCTAGATTTATAAATTCCTTGAATGTTTAAAAATTAGCTTTTGCAACATAGTTAATTTGGTTGCCACATCCAAACATCATTTTAGAATTAACTCATAAACAAATGAGACATTACTGCTTTAGACTACGTATTTGGTTTGGAAACACATACAAACAAGTAACAACCTCAGGTTCTAGCATATTGCAAGATGATATTATCAATTATAAATGAATAAATTGATATCTAACAAACTGGTTTTCTGTATTAGCAAAATGCACGTGGTCAGCTATCAATCTGTATTTTCTTAATATGAGTAAAAATACAGGCAAAATGATACTTTGGGAGATCTTTCTCCTTAAACTCCTCAGCATTCAAGATCTTTCAAATGCTGCTCCCAACTCTTCCAGCCTTATCTGCCACTCCTTTCCCACACCCAGTCATGCCTCCACCCAAATGGACTTTGTACCCCAAGCTCTCTGGCAGCCAAACTCTCACCCCTGCTGTTCTCCTCGCCTGGCACAAGGCCTGGCCTGGAGAAAATGGACAATGGATATTTGCTTAATGAGGTTGGATGGAGACGTTTCCTCATTTCTGCTTCTCATATCTTACCATCTAAGTTCAACTTAATTATTTAAATAGCATTGAACTACACCACTTCTAGTATGTCCAGATACCGTGCTAAGAATTGGGATACCAAAAAAAGGGGTACAGGGCTCTTCATACTATCCCTTGCATATATCAAGCCCTCATCAGATGTTGGGTAAATTCTAAAGCATTTATGATTACCTAACATGGATATCTTAATAATTTGTTCTTACCTGTAAGAGCTTTCAATAAACATGATATATTAAAGGAAACTCATTCAACATTCAAAACTTTATTTTGTAATACATTTTTATTGCTGATGAAAAGAGTTGTTTCTCCTTTGAATACACTAACAGATTTCTGCTCAGTAAATAACCCAGAACTGATCGAACCAGATCATCTCTTCTTGAACTGAGTTTTTTTGTTTTTTTGTTTTTTAACACTTTCAGTCTTCAAAAAAAAACACAAGTTGAATGATAGAAAAGCAAATAAAAATAAAAGGAATGCCTTATTTTGATCCAGATGCTCAGAGAGACCACTGTCTGGGATGTTTGAATGGAACCTAGGAAGTACAAGAAGAAATGTACTTATCTTTTATTTTGTCATTTATATTTAGGCCTGCCCCTCACCGAGGGTTTCCAGTGGAAAGTAGAAGTCATTGCTTTCCATTGCCATATGTAGGGTGCCATGATTTATTTGAAGACAAATCTACCACACCATGTGGTTGTTAAGAGCGTAGACCCGGGAGTTAGACTGACTGGCCTGGGTCTTAACTCCTCCATCGGCTGACTTGTGGCTCTGTCTACTCATTGTAAAGTAGGGATAATAATACCACCTACCTTTGAGAGTTAAGAGATTCAGCGAGTTAA